AACACCCACGCAGAGAGTGAGAAAGATACAAGCACAAATAGATAAAGACACAACCTAAGCAGACAGTTCAGTTATTCCGCTCTTGAACTTTTAATTCTGGGGTTCTTTGACTTCTTTAGTTATTCTGCTCTTAAACTTTGAAGACAGAAGAAGCGGAGATTAGAGTAGGCAACTGAAGAGAACTCAGAAACTGATAGGAAAGCTTAAAAAGCAGACAGTTCAGTTATTGAGACATGTGAATCCATTATATCAAAAGAAACCATAACCTAAAAAGTCCATTGATGAAAAAATTCATAATATGAAAAAGGCCCCAAATCCCTACAAAAAAGTGAAATAATTTTTTCAAATAAATAATAAATTTAACTATAAAAAAAATATCTTAATTCATTTTAGAAATCAACATACTTCATGCTCAGTTCATTTTATGGACTAACTTATCATTTTTATTTTATTTTTATTAAAAAATATATAAATTAAGATAAATTTATTTTTTTAAAAAAAGTAATATTATAATCCATATTATTGTTTTAAAAAAATAATATTTTAGCAAAAATTAAGATAACCACATTTTTTATAAAATTAGGATAAACACACCAATTGACAAAGAATAATCAATAACAAAAACTTAACCTTACCCAATCTTTGAGGATATCAAAAGTTATTTTATATTTGATTGCAATTATTGTACTTTTTGTCAAGATGCAAGATCACACCCCAAGAGTCCCAACACCTGGAATACTACATAAACATGATCATTGCTTAGGCAATACACATTATGCTAACAAAATAAAAAATCCACGATTCAATGAAAATTGAAAGAACTATTCATACAACGGATATGTATCCTTTCCATCATTCTTCTTTTCATTCACTTTATCTCTAAAAATCATTTTATCCACTTTTTGTTTTCTTTTGCATTTTTGTACCGGAGAGGGCTCTAGAGTCAATCCGATTCACCACCAAACAGCACTCCTAAAAGTGAAATAATGGACACACAAATGCACCCAAAACATTAGTGATCCAGTTGATATTAACCTATGTCACATATGACCACATCATCTTTTTTCTTATATGCAATCAATATCCCTATCAATTACATTAAAAAAAGAAAAACACCCGGTATTGAAAACAAGAAAACGCAAGTTCAAGAAAGACGCAGGACACAGACACTGGAATCAAAAACAACAATAAGGACAGCAAAGGAGTCCAGTCTCATTGCACTCCAAACAGAAGAAAATAAGAATCAGACATATTGAAAAAAGAATCAAGTTCAATTCAAAATCAAAGAAACAAAAGCATTCCACAATCGTCCTTGAATTGAAGAGACAAGAAAAGAAAAGAAACACAAAAGACATAGGAGGCATTGGGTGTGGAGAAATAAAGAAATTTCAGATTACAAAGAAAAGAAAAAGAAAAAGAAAACAAATGAATTTGAACAGAAGTGAGAGGGGGAGACAGACACTCAATGAGGCAGACAAATAAAGCTCGAAAAATATAAATAAGATTGGAGTGAGTGAGATTATAAATAAGCTCGCCTCTGCCTTAAATTAAAAATTAAAAATAAAAAACATTTATGCCTAGTGTTATCTAGTTTACCTAATATCAATTATAAACAGAAAAAAAAAAAAGAAGCTAAGATTAATTATACAATATGCATTTAAAAAATGCAATAGTTATATTATAATGATTTTATAATAATTTTGTTAAAAGTTGTATTATAAAATAAGGATTGTGATAATGTCTGAATAAGAGAATTCATGTAACAATTCCTTGACTTTTCAGTCCGACAATATTAGTTTCTGTTTTCGAGAAATGTGACATAGAGCAACATCAACCTCAATTATACATCTATCATCTAAAAACCCTTTATCCACTTTTTGCTTTCTTAAGCTTCTTTTTTTTTTTTTGTATTGGAGAGGGTTCCAGAGTAAATCCAGTTTACCACCAAACAGCACTCTTGAAAGTGAAATAATGGGCACTCAAGAAAGAACCAGCCGGTCTTGAAAACAAGAACACGCAAGTTCAAGAAAGAACCAGAACACAGACACGGGAATCAAAAGCACAGTCTGAATCGCAGAAAAAGAAGAAAAGAGAAAAAAGAGTCTAGACATCTAACCGAAGATGAGTCATTGGCGTGTGGCAGTGCTATCGAAGAAACAGAGAGACTCCAGACACTGGAAACGAATGAAGAGTGAGAGAAGAGAGTGACTCTTGACAGTGGAAAAGAGAGAAGGGAGTTGCATTTACGGTAAGAGAATAGAATGACACAACATTTATATAGAGACAGAAGAAATGGTCACGCGACGAGGTGGAGAAATCGTTCTGTGAAAGAGAGAAAATGTATGTATATAAATAAGACATGCCATGCAGAATAAAGAAATATTTTTTAAAATAAAAAAGTAATGTCTTTGCATAGACATTAAAATATTAAAAAAAAATATTTTTATAATTTTATTTATTCTAAATGAATTATTTGGTGATATTTGTTAATAAATTTTATTTTATATATTAAAATATTTATTTATTTATATTTTGTTTCTCAAATGTTTTAAAATTAATAAATGTTCACTAACATGGATAAAAATAAAATATTTTTATTATGTTCCTAATATTTTAATTTTTAAAAATAAAATAAAAACTTAATTAGAATTTGAATCTTTCATTTTGATTTTTGATTTTTTATCCTCTAAATATTAAAAATATAACTTTGAAAAGATTTCACTTAGTTTTGTTAAATTGGTTATGTTATATTCTATTCAATATTCTCATTTTTTATTTATAATTTAGTACAATATATAATCTTTTATATTATCATTTTTTAAAATAAATTCTCATTTTTTATTTATAATTTAGTACAATATATAATCTTTTATATTCTCATTTTTTAAAATAAATAAATAAAATTAATTAAAAACAAAACGACAAATAGTTATTTTTGTTTCATTTTATTTTATCACTAAATAAAAAATACTTAATGTAAGATGTATTAAATTATTATTCAACTATTTATTTGAGGGTTTGCACATGAAACAATTGGAACTAAATATGAAAATAAAAAATAGAATATATTCGCATCATCAAAACTCATACAACTTTTCGAAAAGGCGAAATTAAAATATACAATACTTTATTGTTTAGTTTAAATCAAAGGTATTTTTCAAGAACATCTTGATCAACAAAAAAGATAAATTCATTTTAAAAAAGAAATAATATTTTAACCAATACTAATGTTTTAAAAAAATTATATTTAACAAAAATACGATAACTACATATTCTATAAAATCATGATCAACACACTAATTAACAAAGAATAATAACAAAAGCTTAACATTACCCAATCTTTGAGGATATCAAAAGTTATTTTATATTTGAATGCACTTATTGTACTTCTTGTCGAGATGCAAAATCATACCCCAAGTCCCACCACCTGAAATGTTATATAAACATGATCATTGCTTAGGCAATACACATCATGCTAAGAAAGTAAAAAATCCACGATTCAAAGAGAATTAAAAGAACTATTCATACAACAGATTTGTATCCTTTCCATCATTCTTCTTTTCATTCACTTTATCTCTAAAAATCATTTTATCCACTTATTGTTTTCTTTTGCGTTGTTGTACCGGGAGGGCTCCAGAGTCAATCCGGTTAACCACCAAACAGCACTCCTGAAAGTGAAATAATGGGCCCACAAATGCACCCAAAACATTAGTGATTCAGTTGATATTAACCTATGTCACATATGACCAATCATCTTTTTTCTTATATGCAATCAATATCCCTATCAAATACATTAAAAATAAAAAATAAAAAATACCCGGTCTTGAAAACAAGAAAACACAAGTTCAAGAAAGAACCAGAACATAGACAGATGAATCAAAAGAAGAAAATAAGAATCAGACATATTGAAAAAAGAATCAAGTTCAATTCAAAATCAAAGAAACAAAAGCATTCCACAATCGTCCTTGAATTGAAGAGACAAGAAAAGAAAAGAAACACAAAAGACATAGGAGGCATTGGGTGTGGAGAAATAAAGAAATTTCAGATTACAAAGAAAAGAAAAAGAAAAAGAAAACAAATGAATTTGAACAGAAGTGAGAGGGGGAGACAGACACTCAATGAGGCAGACAAATAAAGCTCGAAAAATATAAATAAGATTGGAGTGAGTGAGATTATAAATAAGCTCGCCTCTGCCTTAAATTAAAAATTAAAAATAAAAAACATTTATGCCTAGTGTTATCTAGTTTACCTAATATCAATTATAAACAGAAAAAAAAAAAAGAAGCTAAGATTAATTATACAATATGCATTTAAAAAATGCAATAGTTATATTATAATGATTTTATAATAATTTTGTTAAAAGTTGTATTATAAAATAAGGATTGTGATAATGTCTGAATAAGAGAATTCATGTAACAATTCCTTGACTTTTCAGTCCGACAATATTAGTTTCTGTTTTCGAGAAATGTGACATAGAGCAACATCAACCTCAATTATACATCTATCATCTAAAAACCCTTTATCCACTTTTTGCTTTCTTAAGCTTCTTTTTTTTTTTTTGTATTGGAGAGGGTTCCAGAGTAAATCCAGTTTACCACCAAACAGCACTCTTGAAAGTGAAATAATGGGCACTCAAGAAAGAACCAGCCGGTCTTGAAAACAAGAACACGCAAGTTCAAGAAAGAACCAGAACACAGACACGGGAATCAAAAGCACAGTCTGAATCGCAGAAAAAGAAGAAAAGAGAAAAAAGAGTCTAGACATCTAACCGAAGATGAGTCATTGGCGTGTGGCAGTGCTATCGAAGAAACAGAGAGACTCCAGACACTGGAAACGAATGAAGAGTGAGAGAAGAGAGTGACTCTTGACAGTGGAAAAGAGAGAAGGGAGTTGCATTTACGGTAAGAGAATAGAATGACACAACATTTATATAGAGACAGAAGAAATGGTCACGCGACGAGGTGGAGAAATCGTTCTGTGAAAGAGAGAAAATGTATGTATATAAATAAGACATGCCATGCAGAATAAAGAAATATTTTTTAAAATAAAAAAGTAATGTCTTTGCATAGACATTAAAATATTAAAAAAAAATATTTTTATAATTTTATTTATTCTAAATGAATTATTTGGTGATATTTGTTAATAAATTTTATTTTATATATTAAAATATTTATTTATTTATATTTTGTTTCTCAAATGTTTTAAAATTAATAAATGTTCACTAACATGGATAAAAATAAAATATTTTTATTATGTTCCTAATATTTTAATTTTTAAAAATAAAATAAAAACTTAATTAGAATTTGAATCTTTCATTTTGATTTTTGATTTTTTATCCTCTAAATATTAAAAATATAACTTTGAAAAGATTTCACTTAGTTTTGTTAAATTGGTTATGTTATATTCTATTCAATATTCTCATTTTTTATTTATAATTTAGTACAATATATAATCTTTTATATTATCATTTTTTAAAATAAAAAATTATTATTCAACTATTTATTTGAGGGTTTGCACATGAAACAATTGGAACTAAATATGAAAATAAAAAATAGAATATATTCGCATCATCAAAACTCATACAACTTTTCGAAAAGGCGAAATTAAAATATACAATACTTTATTGTTTAGTTTAAATCAAAGGTATTTTTCAAGAACATCTTGATCAACAAAAAAGATAAATTCATTTTAAAAAAGAAATAATATTTTAACCAATACTAATGTTTTAAAAAAATTATATTTAACAAAAATACGATAACTACATATTCTATAAAATCATGATCAACACACTAATTAACAAAGTAAAGCTCGAAAAAATATAAATAAGATTGGAGTGAGTGAGATTATAAATAAGCTCGCCTCTGCCTTAAATTAAAAATTAAAAATAAAAAACATTTATGCCTAGTGTTATCTAGTTTACCTAATATCAATTATACCACGTCTGTTCCATATGACAAATAGATTTTCGGATTCTTGCATCCGATTGAAATAATGGGAAAAAACACAGAAGATAAAAGCCACTTTTCTAAGAGGAACTACTTCAACAACAAAATAATAAAAATATAAAGAAAAAAATCAAAATATGATTTACCAATTACACAAAAGTTAGAAAGAATGTAATTTCTAAATGTGGTTAAAATGAACAAAGAAAAAAATAAAATACACATTCAAGAATTTCAACAAGAACGGCTTTTCTTGAGTTTTGAGGAAAGAAAACAATTACAACTATCAAAACATCGAATAGCTTTTCAATTTCAATCAAGAAGGAGTGCAGCATTGAATTGTTGAACAATGTTTTCTTGACTAGTTGACTTTCCTATGGCAGCCTTGGTAGTGCAAGGAGAAAATGACCACAAGGGTCCCAGAGACACAAGTGTTTACCTTGCATAAGAGAGATTATATTTGTATTTGTGCGTGTTCTTCAACTTCTGTAGTTGTTCCGTTCTTGAAGAGAACCCAGAAACTCTGACGAGTAACAAAAATCAAAGAAAAGCATATCCACGGGTTGCTGCACCACACAAAAAGAACAACAATCAAAGAAAAACTCACAAATAACAAAGACTCTTCGAAACAAAGACTTTGAAAAGCAGAGTCTGAATTGCAGAACCAGAAGAAAAGGAAAAGATGAGTCTTCACATCTAACCAACGTGTGGCAGTGCTATCAAAGAAACAGAAACTCTTCGAAACAGAGACTCTTGAAGAGAGACTCGTAACACTGGAAACGAATGAAGAGTGAGAGAAGAGAGTGACTCTTGACAAGGAAAACCAATGAAGAGTGAGAGAAGAGAGTGACAAAATTTATATATAAAGAGCAAAGGGACGGAAAGCGAAATAAAAAAAGAATTTTTTTTAAAATAAAAATGTAATGTCCCTGTATAGATATTAAAATATTAACATTTATTTTTATAATTTTACTTATTCTAATATGAATTATTTGGTGAAATTTTATTAGTGTTTTCTTTGAAAATATTAAATTATTTTATTTATTTATATTTTAAGTCTCAAATTTTTAAAATTAATAAGTATTCTTTAACTTGAATAAAAATAAAATATTTTAATTATGCTCTTAATATTTTAATTTTTTAAAATTAAAATACAAATTTAATTGGAATTTGAATATTTTATTTTTATTTTTTATTTTTAAAATTTTAAAAATATAACTTTGACGTTTCAATTTAGAAAGTTTCACTTTATTTTTTTAAATTGATTATGTTATGATTCTATTCAATGTTTTTATTTTCGTTTTATACTTTAGCACAACATATAATCTTTTATTTAGCACAACATATAATCTTTTACATTGTCATCATTTTTAACAAAAAATAAAAATTTCACAGAAATAATTAAAAGGATAAAAAGTTGTTTTTGATTCGTTTATTTTATCCCTAAATAAAAACATATTTTAGGTACGTTGATGGAAATTCTATAAAATCAAATTTAAAATTAATTTTCGTTTGTAAATAGAAGAATACTTATTTTTATTTTCCATGAATAAAAGATAATAAAGATAACTGACTTCTGGACAATGTCTGAATTACAATTAAAAATGCTTAATGTATTGAATTATTCTTCAACTATTTATCCAAGGTTTGCACAGAAAATAACCTGAACTAAATATGAAAATAATAAAATAGAATATATTACACATCATCAAAACACATACAACTTACTTATTTTCAAAAAGGCTAAAAGAAAAAACCATACCTGATTATACAATACTTTATTATTTAGTAAGTTTAAACCAAAGATGCTTTTTGAGAACATCTTAATCAACAAACTTCTCATCCTCATTTCGTAGCCCTTCTGTCAAAAGATAATAGCCATCTTTGGCCAAATCTGCTTATGAATTACCAAATCTCCGACAACAATCAATCCAGCAAAACAAGTCTTTAGGTGTTAATATCTATATTTACCAAAAAATACTTACTCTATGTGTGCAACCGAAGAGAGTAGTGTGTTGGTAATGTTACTATTAGTAATTAATGATTAGCGAATGGTATTTTTTTTTCCAGCTTTAGTGAACGGATTATAATTTAAATAAATGTGATTGTTTATTTTAAAGAAAATGATAATTATATATATATATATACACACACACATTTGTGTGTGTGAATATACAAATTATACAAACAAATAAATTATATATGTAACTTACTAAAAATTTCTCATGTCCAAAGAAATTTATTTGAAAAGATAAATACAACTTAATAGACCTAACGATATAGAGCACAGGATAACACTTACATAGTATTTGGAATAGAGCACAAAATAACACTTGCATAGTATTTGGTTAGAGGCTTATGAGAATCTTAAATATTCAATGTGAGAATGCAGTATTAAGTCATTTTTTCAATTATGCAATATGCAATGATCTTTTCATTTATACGTCTGGGACAATAATTGACGAATAAAATTTTTTTATTTTATTTCTCTACTAATTTAAATTTTGTTATTATAAAAGATCAATAAACTATTCATTTTGTTTTTTTGTTTTCTTGAAAAAAGTAGGCAGGAAAGATGACTTGGAATTAAATATAGAATCCATCAAAGGCTGTAGTGATACATGGGTGAGAAATCAAGGAAGGATGTTTCCACATCTTGAGGATCAACTTTTACCTCCACCTAGGAAGCAGAGAAGATTGAAGATTAACAGACGCAGTGCTCACTAAAACTCCTTGCAAGGCAAGACATTGTAATTAGTATACTATTTTTTAACATTTCAGCTATTGTGAGTATGATTAGTTTGAATACATGTTATGATAGGCTGTTTAACATTTTTTAGTTGGTATATGACTGGTGTGTGTGGTGCATTAAAATGGTCGCTTCATATATTTGAGTAAAATGGGGAAAAATGTTTTACCTAATACATGATGCTTTATTAATTTATTTGGTTCTGTATACAAGAAATCCTATGAATGTGCTAGTTTTTTTGGTATTACTGATACCAATAGGAACACAAATAGGATATAATACAGCTAGAAGAATACAGCTAACTAAAAGAAGTACATGGCCAGCATTGATATAACAGAATTATTCATCATATTATGTCATTGCTTCCTAAATCTTTAGCAAATAAAAAAAATTGAAAATAACACTCATCCGAAACATAGTCACAAATCACAATTATCACTTGTAAAATTTAAAAAAAAAATCAATTAAAACAAAGACATTTGTTTACATCACTCCACACACTCACCGATTACATCACCATTAACAACCCATCATATAATATCTACCTCCTATCAACACAAGGTCACCAGAGCAAGGAACTGTAACATCCATTTGCACCTGCTGCTGCACCACACAAAATGAACATCAAAACATATAAAGAAAAACCCTGCTGATTAACCAAAACAAACAAGAAAATAAACAAAAAAATAAAACAATAATAAAAAGAAATGAAACAAGAAATTGCAAAGCAGAATCTAAATTGTAGAGACGAAACAAAAGGAAAAGTAGAATGATGACATTTATCGGAAGAGGAGACATTCATGCGTGTAGTTGCTATTGAAGAAATAGAGAGAGTATCAAAACCTGAACAAATGATGTGAAAGCAAAAGACACACATGAAACAATTATAAATAGAGAAAGAAGGGTTGGAGACGGTGATCAAGGAAAATGCTCGCGCGATAGAAGCAACTTTAAATTTGTTAAATGCAAAAGGGAAAACGTAAAAGACTTGTTTTGTTGAAGAATTTCTTTTGATTATTAGTAATTTAACACTATTAAATGTTTTGTTCATAAATTTGGTAAAAATTGCAACATAAGAAACCATCTATTCAAAGTTTTAAATATTAAAATATTTTTTATTCTTATAACTTTCTTTATTCTAATCTGGATTATTTGGTGAAATTTTATTAATAATTGCTATTTAAGAAGAATACAAATTTTTTTTATAATTAAATTCTCAAACTTTATAAAAATTAATAAATGTTCCTTAAGAGGAATAAAAATAAGATATTTTTATGATGTTCCTAATAATTTAATTTTTAAAAAATAAAATAAAAACTAAATTAGAATTTAAATATCCTATTTTAGTTTATTTTTAATTTTTTATCCTCTAAATTTTAAAAATATAACTTTGGTATAACAAGTTTAAAAGGTTTCACTTTGTTTTGTTAAGAGTATTTCTGTTATGTTTCTATTCAATGTTCTCACTTTTAAAAATTGCATAAGTTCTGAGATTCATGCGGTAGACAATAGAGTTCTAAAATACTTGCCATAAAATGATTCTTCTCTTTTTGATTTATAATCAAAAATTGATGCATTGGATATATAGTATGGTGACCTTCAAACAACAGTTTACCATAAAAAAACAATGTACCTTCATTTTATCTTCTAACTTTTCACAAAGACCATTTTACCTTCATTATATGCCTAACCTATGTGGGATGTTAACACATAAACCTCAACCTAACTGGACACCTCAAGGTATTGTTTAGTTTAAATCAAAGGTATTTTTCAAGAACATCTTGATCAACAAAAAAGATAAATTCATTTTAAAAAAGAAATAATATTTTAACCAATACTAATGTTTTAAAAAAATTATATTTAACAAAAATACGATAACTACATATTCTATAAAATCATGATCAACACACTAATTAACAAAGAATAATAACAAAAGCTTAACATTACCCAATCTTTGAGGATATCAAAAGTTATTTTATATTTGAATGCACTTATTGTACTTCTTGTCGAGATGCAAAATCATACCCCAAGTCCCACCACCTGAAATGTTATATAAACATGATCATTGCTTAGGCAATACACATCATGCTAAGAAAGTAAAAAATCCACGATTCAAAGAGAATTAAAAGAACTATTCATACAACAGATTTGTATCCTTTCCATCATTCTTCTTTTCATTCACTTTATCTCTAAAAATCATTTTATCCACTTATTGTTTTCTTTTGCGTTGTTGTACCGGGAGGGCTCCAGAGTCAATCCGGTTAACCACCAAACAGCACTCCTGAAAGTGAAATAATGGGCCCACAAATGCACCCAAAACATTAGTGATTCAGTTGATATTAACCTATGTCACATATGACCAATCATCTTTTTTCTTATATGCAATCAATATCCCTATCAAATACATTAAAAATAAAAAATAAAAAATACCCGGTCTTGAAAACAAGAAAACACAAGTTCAAGAAAGAACCAGAACATAGACAGATGAATCAAAAATAGAAATAAGGACAGCAAAGCAGTCCAGTCTCAATGCACTCCAAACAGAAGAAAAGTAGAATCAGAGATATTGAAAAAAGAATCGAGTTCAATTCAAAATCAGAGAAGCAAAAGCATTCAACAATCGTCCTTGAATTGAAGAGACAAAAGAAAAGAAAAGAAACACATAAGGCATTGGAGGCATTGGGTGTGGAGAAATAAAGAAATTTCAGATTACATAGAAAAGAAAAAAGAAAAAAAAAGCAAACGAATTTGAACAGAAGTGAGAGGGGGAGACAGGCACTCAGTGAGGCAGAAAAATAAAGCCAAAAAAATATAAATAAGATTGGAGTGAGTGAGATTATAAATAAGCTTGCCTCTTCCTTAAATTAAAAATTAAAAATTAAAAACATTTATGCCTAGTCTTATCTAGTTTACCTAATATCAAATTATAAACAGAGAAAAAAAGCCAACATTAATTATACAATATGCATTTAAAAAAAACAAGCAGTTATTTTATAATGATTTTGTTAAAAAGTTGTATTCTAAAATAAGGATTGTGATAATGTCTGAATAAGAGAATTCATTGAACAACTCCTTGACTTTTTAGTCCGACAATATCAGTTTCTTTTTTCGAGAAATGTGACATACATGAAGATAAGCATGCAACTTAAGTAACCTATTTCACTACTATTTAGAATAATACTACAGCAACAAACACAAAACCTGATACTTGAAGAAAGAAAAAAACCCCTTCAAAACAAGAGTATGTGTCTTCAAAATTCTTTTTGGCACTTTAATATATGACTACATACACCCTTTCTAATAATGAGAGTTCAACTTTGAAAGATTTTCTGAGTGGATTACTGAAATGTTCAAAATTGAAATCCTCCTTATTCACAGGTCCAAAGCTTCAACCTCAAGACAAATATGGAACCCATAAACAACCAGGCAACAAATTCAATATAGAAAGAAGATACACAAAATTACAAAGAAAGAAAGAAAAATAAAACATATACTAAAATCCAAAGGTATTATTGGGAGCTTAATGTATGCCATGGTTTGTACAAGACTAGATTTGGCTCATGCTGTGAGTGTGGTTAGTAGATTTATGAGTAATCCTGGAAAGGCTCACTAGGAGGCTGTGAAGTGGATTATGCGATATTTGAAAGGTACTAGTAATATCTGCTTAGTTTATGGTTCTAATGATATTGGGTGTGGTCTTATTGGCTATGCAGATTCTGACTATGGTGGAGATCTCGTGATGAGAAGATCTTTGACATGTTATATCTTCACTCTTTATGGTTGTGTTGTTAGTTGGAAAACAACACTTCATCCACCTGATGGGCAAAGGCCCTGAATAGATAATCACTGATGAATCTGTCGAGAAAAGAATCAAAATTAAAAAAAAAAAAAAAAAAAAAAAAAAAAAAATAGACGACTTTAACACATATTAACGTTTAGAAGAAATAGATCATTTGCATCAAACCAAACATCAGGAAAAAAACAAATCAATCTACTAGAACACCTTCATTATCAAAAACAAACGGGTAAAATAAGTTTTTGTTCCTATTCCCTCCAAAAATTTTCTAGTTCAGTTTAAGTCCTTCTAAAATTATCTTATTTTAGTCCCTGAAATTTTGATAAAGAAATTTCAGATTACATAGAAAAGAAAAAAGAAAAAAAAAGCAAACGAATTTGAACAGAAGTGAGAGGGGGAGACAGGCACTCAGTGAGGCAGAAAAATAAAGCCAAAAAAATATAAATAAGATTGGAGTGAGTGAGATTATAAATAAGCTTGCCTCTTCCTTAAATTAAAAATTAAAAATAAAAAAAATTTATGCCTAGTCTTATCTAGTTTACCTAATATCAAATTATAAACAGAGAAAAAAAGCCAACATTAATTATACAATATGCATTTAAAAAAAACAAGCAGTTATTTTATAATGATTTTGTTAAAAAGTTGTATTCTAAAATAAGGATTGTGATAATGTCTGAATAAGAGAATTCATTGAACAACTCCTTGACTTTTTAGTCCGACAATATCAGTTTCTTTTTTCGAGAAATGTGACATACATGAAGATAAGCATGCAACTTAAGTAACCTATTTCACTACTATTTAGAATAATACTACAGCAACAAACACAAAACCTGATACTTGAAGAAAGAAAAAAACCCCTTCAAAACAAGAGTATGTGTCTTCAAAATTCTTTTTGGCACTTTAATATATGACTACATACACCCTTTCTAATAATGAGAGTTCAACTTTGAAAGATTTTCTGAGTGGATTACTGAAATGTTCAAAATTGAAATCCTCCTTATTCACAGGTCCAAAGCTTCAACCTCAAGACAAATATGGAACCCATAAACAACCAGGCAACAAATTCAATATAGAAAGAAGATACACAAAATTACAAAGAAAGAAAGAAAAATAAAACATATACTAAAATCCAAAGGTATTTTCTTTTCACCATCACTACCTACACCTCCTTTTTCGTTTTTCTTATCTATGCTCTTCATTTTATTTATCTTCCTACTCTCATCAAGGGGCAACATGTGAAGATCACGTCAAAAAGAAATGGACCATGGTATACCATTTGATTCACTTGTTCAATGTAGAACTCGTCTAAAGTGAGTTATAAAGAACTGAAATATAATTTAAATCCCTCTTTAAAAATATACAGGGTCTCGATTTTAAAAACCCATCCTAACTTGGAACACAATCAACTGACAGTTATACATGAAATCAAGCTCAGTGTAGACCAATGAACTGCATGACAGATTAGTGCATGATAATGTTGAAAAATATTAGTTATCTAAAATAAAAGCATACCACTTTGATTTCGTGGAATATTGTACAATTTTTTTCAATTTAAAAACAACTGCAAACCAAAGAGGGAACCCAAAGGATATTAAACCACTCCTTGAAGCCAGAATTATAAAAAGTTAATAAGGGACTCAATCCTATTCCTATGTCAACCCCATCGAGACAAATAGTATTTCATCCACACCATCAAGTAGGCAACCCAAGCTCTGAAGCCACATAACAAATGAGAAATTAGTTCAATTAGGATATAAGAGAAAAGTTCTCCATCTTGTTTGAATATATCAACTACAGATGTTCCCCAACAACCTCCACTGTCACCAATGCATCGCCGCTCCCATAAATTCAAAAAAAAAAAAAGAAGAAGATGTACAAAATGTTTAGCAGAAACTTTAATGTGAGCATCAAATCCAAAAATTTATTTGTGATACACAAACACAGGTAAAGATAGAGCATAACTCCAATACTTTTTTAATCAAAAAGAAAAACTGTGTGCAAGAATACAAAAGATATCAAGTTTTCAATGATAGTGGCCCCCACAATTTGAACTTTTCATGGTCAAGGTCAATCAAAGACATCTATAACATAAAGATTCCATTTAGGTTCAATAAGGCTAAAAAATAGCATAACATCTCTTTTTCAAAATACATGTCATAGTGACACCCAAATTGAATCAGGTAACTAGAATTTATACACCCAATTTTCGTTCAACAAGTTGGGGCATTCTTGAACAAACAACAACTAGACAAAAACATCACATTTTCCGATGCTTTAAAAATTCATTTGTTAGTCAAATTTAGGGGCAACTATATCGTACCATCTAAGTAAAAATTGATCAAGGATCGACTCAGACTCAAACATTCTAATTCAGCTAAGGATCATTAACATTTAATAACAGCAAAACATCCCTTTCTCGAAATATGAGAGTTCAACTTTGAAAGATTTTCTGAGTGGATTACTGAAATGTTCAAAATTGAAATCCTCCTTATTCACAGGACCAAAGCTTCAACCTCAAGACAAATATGGAACCCATAAACAACCAGGCAACAAATTCAATATAGAAAGAAGATACACAAAATTACAAAGAAAGAAAGAAAAATAAAACATATACTAAAATCCAAAGGTATTTTCTTTTCACCATCACTACCTACACCTCCTTTTTCGTTTTTCTTATCTATGCTCTTCATTTTATTTATCTTCCTACTCTCATCAAGGGGCAACATGTGAAGATCACGTCAAAAAGAAATGAACCATGGTATACCATTTGATTCACTTGTTCAATGTAGAACTCGTCTAAACTGAGTTATAAAGAACTGAAATATAATTTAAATCCCTCTTTAAAAATATACAGGGTCTCAATTTTAAAAACCCATCCTAACTTGGAACAGAATCAACTGATAGTTATACATGAAATCAAGCTCAGTGTAGACCAATGAACTACAT